TGTACTCCTGTTCCATTCAATTTGGTCTTCATGGTTGATTTGTTTGATGAATTCCCCTTCTTAGTACATAGGGATGGCAAAAAAACTCAAACCCGACGAGGAAAACCTAAAACCGAATTAAACGGGTCAGGTTCGGGGATGATAAACGGGGACAGGGGCAGGGATGGGGAAAAGCCGTTTATGCTAAACGGGAACGGGGATGGGTTTGCTAATCCCCACCCCGATTACCCGGCCCGATACCCGGCCTGATAAATATTAAAAATAATTATTTTATATATATATATATATATATATATATATATATATAATATTAATAAATTTAATTTAAATTAAAATATATATATAATATTTATATATTTAATTTAAATATATATATATATACCCGACCCGATACCCATTTAAATAATCGTTTATGCTAAACAGGGATACCCGTTTCCTCGCGGTTTTCCCTTATTACCCGATGGGGATCCCCGTTTAAATCCCCGTGGTTTTTTAAGCGTGGATGGGTACGGGTTTTTTAAACGGGGACGGGGATGGGGGGACCAATACCCGACCCGAACTCGGCCCGTTGCCATCCCTATTAGTACAGAATGCGATCTATAATTGAGCTGAGTTGAATACTTCCAAAATTATCATCGAACCAAAATTAAGAACTCGAACACGCATTCAAGTGATATCTATGCCATTCTGTTACTGATATAACACTAGCATTGGTTTCTCGGCTTAATATGTGATCCATAACTTTTAAGATCAATACCACACCTATGTTTATTTGGTCATAAGGGTATTTTGGTTATTTTGATGCTCAATGTTTTTCCATTCATTTCAAAGCTTGAGGATGTCCATTCATTCTTGGGCTTGGTGATATTCTCGAGTCATTTCTATTCTAGGGGTATTTTGGTCATTTTACAGATTCAGTGTATTTCAATCTTTCCTTCCGTTCGATCTTACTATTAAATCCAATCTTATCATTTATTTCAGTCCTTTCAAACAATTCTGACAAAAGAACACCCCCGATAAATTGTTCTTCAGGTATTTACTTATAACTCGGATATTTTCGGGTCAAGTGCCTTCTCAGATTTTACAAACGAAATATCATGAATTTTTCTGTACAAAGACATGATCTTAACAATTAAATCCGTAATTTATCGAGTAAAGTACAAATCATTAAAGTACTTTCTCATTCCGGGTCAACTCAGATTATTTTTACCTTTCAAGGGCATTTTCATAATTTCTTAACCAAATAGTTTCAGTATTAACTCTTTACGAAAATAACTATAATTTAGAGATCATATGGTTAATTTCTTTTCAGAACATTCTCTAATCTTGAAATGATTCCTTAACAGACTTCTAGTATCGTGGATAAACCCTCTTGGGGTTAAAAACCGGTTATCCGAATTTTCCAATTAAAGCTAACATTTCTTCTGCACATCTGTAGTTTTATCAGACCAATAAGTCTTTTCAGAGTTATTAATCAACTTTTAGGGATAATTCTTGTCATTTTCCAACATAAGGGTAATTTTATAATTTTACCTAATCGAACTATTTTCATACCTTATCAAATGAGATAGATTATAAATTGCATATTCAATACTGATTCATATATCACTTAATCTCTTAACTTGTAATTGAATTCAAATTATCCTTCAATTTCTTATATTAGTCGTCTGATCCATATTCAGTTATGAAATTTTTACTCTATTCGAATCGAGTGTAGAACTTCATTAATTACACATATGAGACCAAACATTTCCATTCATGCATTATCAATACCAACATGTTCTATAAAGCATAAAGAGGTAGTAATATATTACCTCGATTTCTGTGCCATACTGATCAACCATTAAATTCCATTTGAACACCCTCGATCTTGAAATCAACTTCCAATAATTCCTCAGATGCATATCAACAGAAATTACATAAAAAACGAAGCTTAATTCCGATAAACGGATCGAATCGAGTGATAAATCAGTTAAAAATAGCTTATCGGGTTCGAATTTGGCGAAACAGACTTCGGATTCGGATTTAAGACGTCATCAAACATAAAATATGACTTTTTTGAAAATTTTGACTTTGCAGTCAAAGGGTTTGACTGGCAATTTCGAGGCCTTCGTGTCCGAATTTGGCAAAACGGATTGCGGATTCGAACTCAGGTCGTCAAAAATTATAAAATATAACTTTTCGAAAATTTTGACTTTTTCGGTCAACGATCAACGGCAGTCAACGGTCAACGGTCAACAGTTTTACACAAATATCACTCTAACATAAATTAATTACAAAATTAGCACCCTTGTAACAATATTTACAAAACTAGCACCCTAGTTTTACACAAATATCACCCTAACAAAAAATTAATTACAAAACTAGCACCCCTACGCGCAGTGGCGGCGCGTGAACATTGATACGGTGTCGGAAAATTCCCGGAAAATTTCTAAAAATTATTTTGAGGCATTTTGAAACACTTACCAAGATCAGTTCACAATTTTGAACGGTTGAGAGCTCGATTACGAAATATTGAAAACTTTGACTTTTGCACCCCTAAACTCATCGGCGACGACGGAGAAACGGTGAACACCGTTGGACTCGAAACGATTCAAGGAACACGATGGTACGGGAGGTGTCGAAAACGGATGGCCGAGTCGTCGTGAATCGACGAAAAACCAACGGAAATCGAGTTAAAACCGACGATACTTCCAACTGAAATTAACGACGAACGACTATGATTCACGATGAAAGGTTTGAGGGTTTTGTTCATCGATCGACAACGAACACGGTGGTGGTTTTGGTTCGTCAAACGGACGCCGGACGGTGAGTAGATCGGAGAGGAAAGGAGGGTCAACGGGGGAGGAAAAACTAAGAAAAATACGCAGAAACAATCGGGGAAGGGTTATAATTCATCCCATAAATAATGGGTAAACCATGAGTTTAGTCACTGAAGTTTCTGCACTTTATAAAACGGTCTAGTAACTTTACGATTTTATAATTTAATCCCCAATTTCTTCCAAAATATCAATTTAAATTCACCACTTTATAATTCCTAAAATTTAGCCCCTAAATTGGGTTGTTACATTAACTACTTAAAATGTAGAACTTGTCCCAAGTTAATGTGCTGTGCGTGCAAAGTTTAGTTATTCATTAAACATGAAAGTTATATACATTTAACGTAATTTTACATGCATGCAAGCTAACTAATATGTTTTTCAATGTTTAACGTATATGTTAATGAAATCTTAGTGGAGTTGGTAAAGGTTGAGGCTTTGAATATCCAGGTTCAATTTTCATCTTATATAAATTATTTGCGTGGACTCTTCGAGATATATTCTTTTTGATTTATTTACCTTTAATGTGGGTTAGCGGTAAGGTCACGATAGTTATTTATAGATTGATCAGGTTAGAAAGATCTGATAGTATAAATCTGTCAGCGTAAAAGTCTTGTCTAGGTCTCGAATGTACAATATAATTAACTTAAAGATATATGCTCGGAGATTTTTATGAAATCCACGGAGATTAGGAGGTTTACGAAAGGTGTCCGGAGACATAACAGTTTTATATATATTTATCAACCAAGGTTGGATGTGGTGAAAACTGAAAAGTAATTCAAAAATATGTTTTTAAAATGATCCAGTAAACTCAAGTAAATTTATAAAAGATAAGGTTAGCCACGCTCCTGTAGAGCATGTAGAGCAGGCCCTGTGGTTAAAGCAAGCACTAAAAAATACTAATCATAGTCTTATTCCTTAGACTTGCTTTTTACGCGAGCTTTAACCCTCCCCGGCGGCGTAGTGACCGGTCGTCAACTTCCTCTTACAGCCCCCACCCGTTGACACTTATTTCCATATTTACTTCAAATTCATTGCTTCCATCTTTCTCCTTGTGTGCATATATATGTACACGCACGTTAACATTAGAGAGAGTTTTAGAAGGAAAGAAAATAGTTCAAAGCTTGTTAGTTGATCATCGAGATTTTGGCTACTAAAAGAGGTGAATGGGTTCATCAAACGGAGGAGTGCCACCAGGGTAAAGTGTTTTGATCCTTTGCTTGAGTTTTGATCCTTTGCTTGAGTTCCTTGTGAACGTTTGACTCAACTGTTTAGAGTTTTAATTCATTCTCTCATCGATGTTTATCTAAAATTATCATTATGAATTCATTGAGTGACCTCAATAATAAAGGAAATTGTTATTCTTCTTAGAGGTTCTGAATTCTTACAATACTATTTGTAGAATGTGTTTGCATTGTCAATTGACTAAAAAATATCCGAACATGTATTATCTTGTACAATTTAACATCGTAATTCAAATCCGATCCGCAGGTGTTCTACAAAATTGTTTTCTCTACCCTATACCGATTTCAGTTTCAATGTGTCATGCCCTACTCCTTTTCCAGGAAATTTTACATATTATTTCGGGAAAAAAGGTTTAGAGAAGAAACGTTGAGAAGGAGAAGCTTGACTAATTAGCATTATTCTTATTTATTTTTATTAGCTAAACAACCAAACAATTCTGTGCGTGTTGTAAAATATTGTTTTTCATAGTCTCATGCTATGAAGATCTGCCAAAAGTTGCACTATGATATTTGAATCCAATAATATTTAATAATTATAAAACTCATATGTAGAAGAGGCTCTCTCATAAAATTTGATTTTTGACATCCTTCTGATACTTTGTCTTGATTATTAGTTCCTGTTTGTTTGTACTTAGACATAACTCAAGAGCTGTAGACTTGTTAGTGTATTAAAGCAATCAAATGAAAGCAAAGAGTTTTTTTTTTACGTGGTTGGGTGATTACAAGGTATTATTTTTTAAAATATTTCTAATCATCAGATAATAAATTATTTAAAAACCTTGTAGAAGTAGTACTCGAATCTAAAACCTCTAAAAATAACAATCATCCATTTTAATCATCAAAGTCGCTTAACTCGTGAAAGAGTTTAAATCTTAGTCTCTGTAGTTATTTTCCGGGCTATTTCAAGTTACAACCTCTGGTATAATTATATGATGAAATGAAAGGTAGATTAAGGTTTTTATAATATGCAGTGTGTATGTATATACAGAGAGGTGTAGGATCGGATCAAGTCGACAAAACGAGTGGCACTTTTTCAGCCACAAGGACCGGAAATACCCGACAGGGTCGAGGACGAATAGGGCAACCCATGCTGGGGTATGGAAAGCGACGGGTAGGGACAAGTGCATTCGGAACAGTTACAAAAAGATTGGTATGAGGAAAACCCTTGTTTTCTACCGAGGAAGAGCTCCACATGGCCAAAAGACCGACTGGATCATGCATGAATACCGACTTGAAGATGGCGACGATCCCCAAGCAAACCCCACTGTTAGTTCTCTCTCTCCCTCATCCAACTTTGCCAACTAGTAAACGTTAAATTGTGGTTTTGATCCATCTACTGTACTTAAATTTGGTACTTAATCTGTGTACTTTAATCTATCATAAGTTGATCATCAGAATTTTATGTTAGGAGTAACTTATAAAATTTTAGAGGAGAGCAAACTTATAAAACTTTAGAGGGGAGTAAAATTATAAAATTTTAAGGGCGAAAATAAATTATTAATAAAATTATAAAAAGAAAATATAAGATAATTTAAAATGTTTTAGGAACCTATTAATCGTTAATTTTTTAATGTTTGGTTAGTATAAATAACTAATACTATTAACCATTCAAGTAAAATTCAGACATTTTTTATTTATTAAAAGCAACCATTCTAACACAAAAAATTCCACAACACGATGAGTTAAGAGTACTTTTAAGAAAACTTAATGGTCAGGTAGTGGATCTTGACATTAGATTTTTTGAGATCTAATTAAAAATTTTAAAAGTTTCTAAGGGGTCAATGAGAATTTCTAAAAACTTTTAGTGGTTAATTTAAGTTTTCAAAACCAATTTAGGGTTTAATAAGAATTTTCAAAATTTTTAGATTGGCCTTATTAAAATATTAAAGAAAATAAGATTTAATGAGGATCTCCTAGTTAAAACTTCTAAAAAAAATGAGAAGCTTAATAATTTTTTTTCAGAATTCATCTTCAACCTGTGTTAACGGAGTTAATTATTTAAATGGTATTATAAAATTTATGATTAAAATATGTAAAACTAAAAATAAGTTGAGTATAGTAGAGGGACCAAAACCAGGATTTGGCATTAGTAAACATATTGTTGATTTCATCATTCCTATATAAAATGTAAAAATTGCATGCTGCATGCATGTGTAGGAAGATGGATGGGTGGTATGCAGGGTGTTCAAGAAGAAAAACCTGTTCAAAGTTAGCATTAACGGAGGATCAAGCATCAACTCATCATCGAATCGACAGCTGAACAACACTTCAAGCGACAGCCAAACTCCACCACTGTCCTTCACGCACAGATCAAACAACCCCACCACTCAACAATGCTTGGAGGAGCTAAACAAGGCGGAGCTAGCCCTTCACTATCCTTCCCTGCACCCTCCTCAATACTCTATTTTTCAAACCCAAACTCAAGTCGGCTATAACGAGTACCCACCGGTGGGTCTCCCATCGGAGCCTCATCATCATCACCCCATAATAATCAAACAGCTTATTGGGAACCCTAGGGATTGTGAAAGTGGGAGTGAAAGTGGGAGGTACCAAGCGGGTCTAGAGGGTGTTGGTGGTGCAAGAGATGATGAGATCGAGGGCATGAATGAATGGGGGATGCTGGACCGCCTGGTTACATCTCATGTAGGAATAGCTCAAGATTCTTCCAAAGGTTTGAGGTTTGAGGCCAGCGCCGCCGCCAACGGTGGTTCCTCGGTGCACCCAATCAACCAGCTTTCATTTCGAGGAGAGATGAATTTTTGGGACTATGGAAAATAGTATTAATTATTCACCATAAACTATACATATATAGGTTTGAGGTTTGAGCTTGGTTATGTTTACGATCCAAAGAAATTGAATGAAATAGTGATTTATATTATGTTAAAGGAATTACTTTTAAACAAATACCGATCATTTATTTATAGAACCATTAACTATTTATTGCAATTACTTTATGTTTGTTTAATTATTATATAGCAAATATATTTGGTCGGTTTATCAAGCTGTTTATTTATATTCCCTAGTATAGAATACAATATATTTGATTATTCACCTATTATTTTAATTTTGTTTTGGCCACTCAATTATTTTCTTTTTTTGGAAATCATCACTAACGTCGCGTTTTGATTTTATTTTCGTAACTCACCATTAAAAAATAACATAATATTTTTTGCTAGGCAATATGATTTTATTAAAGATTAAATCATACACCCCTAAGCCTAAGTTGTGAACCTAATTAAAAACCTTTTGGAAACGTAATGGGGAAAACTGTACTCTCCAACCTGGTTGAAACGATCCCCTGAATTCCATTAAATCACAAACACAACCTATTAACAGTACGTGTATTTCATTTGATTACATTATGAGCTCTCAATACTTCAAACATGTTTTCATCATGTTTTAAACATAGTTTGACGAGATAGTTCTTGTTTTGCTAAATGATTTTGTTGAACCATGCTTTGAGATTTTGATAACCACAAGTAAATAAGTTTAATAAAATTTTAAGATTATTTTTAATTTGGTTTTAAGCTTATATTTGATTCAACCATTCGAATATAATTTTTTTAAGTCAAAAACTCCTTTACTCCTTACTCCTTTGAAAATTCAAGTCATACAATGGAAATAATTTTCAATCATTTTTACAAAGGGTTTCAGGTCTTGACCATGAAAAAAATTGAATTTTTAACCCTAGAGTACCAGTACTGCAAGAACAATACTGATACTATTCATGTGGTACCAATACTCCCTTTAAGTTTCTTGACAAACACAGATTCCAATATACTATTTTTGTACCGATACTCTGTGAGTATCGATACTGGTATATATACTGTAAGTGGAGTACCGATACTCTCCTCTCACCAACGGCTAGATTTTTAGAATTAATGCAGACAATACTAATACTCCAGGCCAAAGTACCAGTAGTCAAGTGTCTGGGCAACATTTATTATGGAAAATTTTATCCCAGCGACTCTATTAACTCCTACAACAACCCAAACAGCTAGAATTGAATGAAGGAGTATAAGAATAAGATTCTAAGTGATATGTGAAGACAATAGATCATAGAGAAAGACAAAGCAATCATATTGAGCCAAAATCAAGTCAATATTCTTTGTTATTGAATTGTGCAAACACATTCCTAGTGAGGTTTTTCTAAGTTTGCTATTTGTAATTTCTTCTTAGGAAAGGTTGTACACTTGAGACTTTGGGATATAAGTCTAAGTATGTTGTAAGGTTACACCTTGTCCTTAAAGGTTTGAACAAATTAATGAATTTGTTGAAATCCTTAGTGTTGAAGTTAAGGTAGTGGATGTAGACTTCATTGAAGAAGTTGAACCACTCTAAAATTGCTTGTGTCAAAATTTTCAATTTCTTACAATAAGCTTCATCATTCTCTTAATTACCAATTCACTCCCTCTTGGCTATTTCATTGGTTCGATTGACTCAATAATTGATATCATAGCTAATCTCATTGGAAGGCTTAACATCCTCTTGAGAAGATCCTTGGAAGAAGTCAATCAATTACTACAATGACCACTCTATCTACTTCCGACATTTTTTGGTGAGTCTCAATCTATATAGAAGCCTCCGTATGTCAATGGTGCCAACTATTCTTATCGGAAGAATATAATAATGGTATTTATTCAAGCCACCGATTATTCAGTGTGAGATGTCATCACCGACAGAGCATCAATTTCTTCCAAGAAGCAAGGAAAGTTTGTTGTACCGAATGTTAAGTCTGAATGGAAAAATGAAGATCAAAGACTCATACAACCAAATGAAAAAGCCATACACATTATATTTTTTGCATTAGGCCCTAATGAATATAGTAGGTTGTATTCTTGCTCAAATGTAAAAGAGATTTGGGATAAGCTTGAAGTCACACATGAGGGTACAATTCAAGTGAAGAAATCAAATATTGGAATTCTCACTCTCAATTATGAGAATTTCAAAATGAAGGCTGACGAAGACATCTAAACGAGATCGTTTTACTGCCATCATCAACGATTTAAGGAACTTTGGGAAGGTTTATCCCAATAAAGATTTGGTAAGAAAAATGCTTACATCATTACCTTCATCTTGGGAAGGTAAAGCAACCGCTATTGAAGAATCCAAAGATTTGGAGTTGTACACCCTTGATGAACTCATCGAATCATTACTCACTCATGAAGTGAAACTTCAAAAGAAAAAGGAAGAATAAGAAAAGAAGGTAAAGAAAAAGAAAGTTGGGATTGCTCTCGAGTCCACCAAGGAAGAGAATGATTCTAGTGAGGATGAAGATGAAGAAATAATAGTTTTTGCCAACAGATTTAGAAGATTCATGAGGTTAATCAAAGGAAGAATATTTCAAAGAAATGAGGGTTCAAGAATAAATATAAGGACAAGAACCCCATCATTTGTTATGCATGCAAGAAAACGGGACATATCAAGTTTGATTGTCCTTAATTGAAGAATAAGGGGTCACCTAAGAAGGCATAAAAGGAACATGTAGCTACATGGAGCAATGGAGAATGATTCGATGAAGAAGAACAAGAAGTATCCAACTTGTGTATTATGGCCATCGAGAGAGAAATGAAGGTAACCTCCAGTTGATATAATTTAAATGAATATTCCTTTCATAAACTACAAGAGGCATATGATGAATTTGCCTTAGAATTTGAGATCATTCTTTCAGAGAATAAGAAAAATATTTCAAAAATGAAAAATAAAAATGATCTCTTATCTAAGACCAATTATGAACTTGAAAGTAAGATGAAGGATATGCAAGTCAAACTTGATGAGTTTGAAAAAAGAAAAATCAAGATTTGCACAACTTACTTTCTAAAGTTCATGATGACCATCCCAAAGAGCTTGATGATCTCCAAGCTTTATTTAACAAAGTTGGATCAAACCAATTTCAAAAAGGTCAAACTTCAAAATCCAACTATGTTAAAAATAACTTTGGATAATACAAACATAAAGGTATCCAAAGATCCTCTAATGAGAAAGTTGTTAGAAGCATACTCATTGGTACTAAGGAAAAAGATATCCTAGAAAAATGGATACCCAAGGGGCTAGATTATTGGGAACTAATGCCTATTGACCCAAAAGAATTTGGGTACCAAAAAAAAAATAATCTATGTTTATAGGTGGGGGAGCATTTCTACAAGGCCCAAAATGTAAGCGTAAATTCATGGTATCTTGATAGTGGATGCTCAAGACAAATGATTGGTGACAAAAACCGTTTCAAAGAGCTTAAACTTAAAAGTGAATTAGTAATAATTTTTGGTGACAAATCTAAAGACCATATAGAATGAGTCGGTTCAATTGGTAACAATTCTTCCATTTTAAGTGAAAATATGTTATATGTCAATGGTTTGAAGCATTTGTACATAGTATAAGTCAACTGTGTGATAAAGGACACAATGTCATTTTTTTAGTCTAATGGTTGTAAAATAGTTGACATTACATCATACATGATTATGCTTGTTGGACATAGAATTGGAAACATTTACATGGTGCATTTAGATGATAATGTTTCTTCAAATGTATGCCTAGTAGCTAAAGATGAAAATGATTCATGGTTATGGCATAGAAAACTTGGACATGCTAGTATGAGTATATTAGATAAACTTGTTGAAGGTGATCTAGTAAAAGGTTTACCAAAGCTAAAATTTGATTTAGACAAAATTTTTGATGCATGTGTAAAGGGTAAACAAAAAAAGTTTCCTTGAAATCCATTAATGATGCTCCATCTAGTAGGGTATTGTAATTGATTCACATAAATATATTTGGGCCTATTAGGACTATTAGCTTAAGTGAAAAACAATATGCTTTTGTTCTTGTTGATGATTACTCTAGTTCACATGATTTCTCTTTTTAAGTGCTAAGGATGAAGCTTTAGATAAATCATCACATTTTCAAAAATAAACTAAAATGAAAAGGCTTACTCAATTTCTAGTGTTAGGATTGACCATGGAACCTAATTGCAAAATCTTGGTTTTGATAAATTTTACAATTCTTGTGGTATTAGCCATAATTTTTCAGCCTCTAAAACCCCTAAGCAAAATGAAGTTGTTGAGAGGAAAAATCAAATTTTAGAGGAAATGGCTAGAACCATGCTTTGTGAAAATAATTTTCCAGAATGTTTTTGGGAGGAAGCCACAAACATCGCTTGTTATATTGTAAAAAGAGTAATGATTATGCCTATTTTAAAGAAAACTCCATACGAACTTTTCAAAAAATAAAAAGCCTAACATTAGCCATTTTCACCCTTTTGGGTCTAAGTGTTTTATTTTAAATAATGAAAAATATGATCTTGTAAAATTTGATGCAAAATGTGATGAAGGAATATTCCTTCGATATTCCATTAATTCTAAAGCTTTTCAATTTTTTAACAAAAAAAATCTATTGGTAGAAGAGTTTATTCATGTTGTTTTAGATGATAACCCCCTTCCGAGTAAGGAATCTTATATGGAAAATGGTGTAGGTATTATGACATCAAATGAAGTTAGTGAACCATCATCTAAAGAGGATATGCAAGTACAAACATAAGATGCTCTTGAGAAGACAATTCAAGAGGAAATGAAAGTATCATGCCCAAGGGAGTACAACTATGTCAAGGATGGTGAGATTTTGGGTGATCCATCCAAAGGGGTAACTACTAGATCCTCTCTTAAAAATATTTGTAATTTTGTTGCATCTTGTAACCCCCCAGACCCGGTCTGTAAGTTAGACCCAAACCTAAGTGGTCACTATTCACGTGTTGTGAGTACTATAAATTATACGCAAATAATGTGCAAGTATACATAATCGCTCAAGTTATATAATGATGAGTATCGTCTCAACAGGGATTGGATGAAATTACAAAAGTCTAATCAAAGCAATGCACTATTCTATCTAAGTATAGTTAGTCTTGATATATACAAATGTCACGGCAATGTAAATGTGTATGCTGGTGGATATGGAGTGATGGTCTGATGGTGTAGCAAATGGAAATGCAATGACAATGATGGATGTTTAATGTTGAGTATGGTGAAATGTCAAGGCAATGAAAAATGGTAAAAACAATAAATAAATAAAAATAGAATGAAAAGAAAATAATCCTCACATGACAAGCTTCCAATAGAATGAGTGGTAGGGATTGATCTAAGGATGCTAAACTTATTTCTCAAGTATATTTAAGCTACCTGGTCTTTACTTACTCGACAAAGCTTTCCTAAAGTGTTCAAAAGAACCTAACAGAATAGGATGCCAAGGCATATGCTCTCACTCAACGATGTTGGCCAGCCTACCCTATTGATAAGGATACCCTTTTTAGTCATTGAAATCCTATCCTAGTCTCTTCTGAGATCTAAGGGATTAAGTTATAATATTCCTAGGCCGGTTCAAAGCCCCTTGAAAATACTATAACCCATTACTTATGAGGATCTTATCTTGCTTTTCTTCCGAATACTTACAAGTATTTTTAGTCTAGGATTCTTCTGAATACCTAACCTTCATCTACGAAATGGACATTTCCATGCCTCTTACAAGCCTAGATGGTGAAGAATTCATAAGCAAAGCAAATAAAGAACCAAAATAAACTTAAATACACCATTAAAAATAAAGTTTAAACAACCATTAAATCAACCACCACCAAATAAGTTAGTTCATGGTGGGGTTCAAAATATCCAAACACAAAGTCATGAAAATATTTGTTCCAATAACCCACAAATAAATATAAAATAGCAGCAAAAAGGGAAGTTGAGAAGAAGCCTTCAACGCGCCACTAGAGGTCTCCTCTCGGCCATTGTGAACCACCTAGCTCGCTAGCTCCTTTCGGCGCCTAGCTTGCCACTCCTCTGAGATTTATCAATGGAGGAATATCCCAAGGAAGAAGAAAAGAAAAATCTAATTTTTGCTACAGTATGCGTGTGCGTCAATCCTCTCTTCCTCTCTCCCATGAGGTGTCATATATAATAAAACAATATCTAGGGGTAATGATGATATTGTTGGGTACAAAATACCCCTCATACCCCTAGAATCACATGTTGAGCGTGAATCTTATCCTCCAAGTGGTAGTGGTCCTCTGGTGGCTCTGGCAGGCGGTTACAGCAGTCCTTCACGTGCAGAGACAGCTGTCCTTGTGCAAAAATATCTTTTTTGTCTTTTTATATGCCATAAATGCCGAGGCATTTCATTATGCATTAGGAACTTGTGATGCCACGACATTTCTTCCTAAAGAATCCTTTTTCTTGCTATTCCCTGCACACCACAAACAAAATGCACCTTTCCCTCAAGCAACAACATTAAGAAATAAAATAACACTACCACCACAAATGCAACTATATGCAACTTCATGATCCTAAAATGCCTAAAATGAGATTTTAAACAAACAGTAAATTAAGTGAAAAAGGCCTTAAAAGTAGCCTTTTTAGGAAGTTATCACGCCCCCAAACTTAAGCTATTGCTTGTCCTCAAGCAATGGATAGCAGTTACATAAGTAAAATGTCATGACAATGTTCGACAGTAAGACAGTAGGATAAAATTGAATTTTAACCCTCAAAAAGAAATAGGGCTCACCCATGAGCTATTTGAGATATGGTAGATCAATCCAGCATTAAGCCATTTCAGAATTTCTTTCATCACCACTTGCTTCATAACAGGGTTGAGTCTTCTTTGTGGTTCTATTGAATTATCGTGGTAATCTTCAAGCAGAATCTTGTGCATGCAGATCGTGGGGCTAATGCCTTTTAAATCGGCCATAGTCCAAACAATTGTTTTTCTATGTTGCATCAACACACTTAACAAACTTTGCTCTTGGTTAGCAGTAAGGTTAGCGTAAATAATCATCGGTAAAGTCTCATCGCTACCTAAGTGTACATATTTAAGATGCCCTGGAAAAGTCTTAAACTCTAGAGTGGGTGGATGTATTAATGAAGGCTTAGGAGGAATAAATTCATCAAAATTTAGAGGTTCTAAATTCATACCTGATCTAACTTGTAGTAAGCTGGATTCTTCCTCAAAAATTGGAAAGTTGTCGGACTACACTAAGCTTTCATCATCCACCCAATATTCATTTTCTGCTAGCTGAATGAAATTGTTCTGGCAAAGATGTTCATTCTCTTCTTCAATCACTGAGTTTAATTCAGAAATGCCTTTGTATTCTCCAGTATCATCAACATATTTGAGTGTTCAAAAAACATTGACAGTCACACACTGATCAGCCACTCTCATGGTGAGTTCACATTTTTCACAGTCTATCAAGATACGTCCAGTGGCTAGGAAAAGTCTTCCCATAATGATTTGTGCCTTGGCATCAACTTCGCCGTCCAGAATTAAGAAGTCGACTGGAAACACAAACTTATACACCCTTACTATGACATCCTCGACTCTCCCTTCAGGTTTCACATGGGATCTGCCGGCAAGTTGTAAAAAAACTGAGGTGGGTCTTGCATCTCCTATGCCAAGCTTCACGAATATCGATTTTGGCATTAAGTTGACATTTGAACCAAGATCACACAGTGCCTTTCCAATGAAATTAGCTCCAATTGAACAAGGAATAATGAAGCTTCCCGAATCATTTCTCTTTGGCGGCAACTTACTCAATGAATAACAAAATTCTGTTACCGTGGCAACAGTCTCAACTTTCCTCTTCTTGGTATAGATTTCCTTCAGAAATTTGGCATACATCGGCATCTGTTCAACAGCTTCCAAGATATGTATATTGATATGGAGCTGATCAAGAATATCCACGAACTGAACTTCATCATTATGCTTCTTCAATCTTTGCGGGAAGGGTGGGGGGAGGTCTAGCTTCCTTAGCTGCAGGAATAGAATTTGCTTTTGCCTTGGCATCAGAATCTGGTATCTTAGCAGAATCCTCCTCCTTGTCCTTCTGAGTAACTCTATCATCATGTAATTCAAATTCAGTAGTGGGATTAGAATCATCATGTTGTGGCCCACTATCCTTGACTTGTCGATTGATTTGTGTTCCACTCCTAAGAGTTAACACATTGCAATGCTCTTTTCCAGGTGCTCTAGTGACTTCAGTATCACTTGGCAAACGTCCTTGCTGATGCTCTTGCAATGCCGTAGCAATCTGAGCAACTTGTCCTTCCAAAGCTCTCAGAGATGAGCTATGGCTTTGACGTAAGGTGCCATGACTATGAAGTAAAGCTCCTTGATTTTTAATTGAAGTAGAATGGTCTTGCAGCATTGTCTTCGTAGTGGATATGAACTCTTGAATTGTAGCTTCCAATGAACTCATGCTTGCTAAAGATGAAGCTCCTTTGTTGGCATTATGCCATGGCATAGCATTTTGGTAACCTTGAGGCTCATTGTGATTCTGCTGCCGAGTAGGTTGATTAACATTGTGGGCTCCTTAATTTCCCCATGAAAAATTGGGATGCTGACGCCATCCAGCATTATAAGTGTTAGAATAAGGATTGTTGTTGGATCGATTTTAATTACCTATAAAGTTGATGGACTCATGGTTGGTTGGGCATTCGCTCTCGTGATGATTGCCTTGGCATAACAGACATGCCAAGCTAGTTGCTTTCACTTCCTTCACATCAGTGGAACGTTGTAAGTTCTTCAATATATATTAGTGATGGCTGAGAGTTGAGCGGGCACCGAATCCTTGGTATCTAACTCAAATGCTCCAGGTGTTCTCCTACCACTCCCAAGCCTTGAGGAATGAAACTGATAATCATTATTAGCAATTCTGTCCAAGATAGTAAACGCCTCAGTAGGTGATTTATCCAGCAATGTCGCATTTGCCGAGGCATCCAGTAACATCCTCGTTGGTGCATTAACTCCATTATAGAACATGACTACTTGAGTTAAATCATGAAAACCATGATTTGAACACTTTCGAAGCAAACTCTTGTAACGATCCCAACACTCATACATGGATTCATCGTCATCCTGGCAAAAAGATGATATTTCATTCCTTAACTGCGTATTCATGTTTGGTGGGTTGTACCTCAATAAGAAACTCTTACAAAGATCGGCCCATGATTCCATAGAACTGGCTGGTACACCACTCAACCAAGCCCTTTCTCGGTCACGCAATGAATACAGAAAAAGCTTTAATTTCAAAAAATCCGCATGCACTCCTTCTTGGCGAAAAGAATCACAAACTTTCAGAAAATTGCGAATGTGCTTCCTGGCATCTTCAGTTGGCATACCCCCAAACTGCCCAATAGAATTCAACATGTTAAACATGACTAGTTTCAGCTCGAAATGTGCAGCTTGAATTTCAGGTGCCACAATCCCAGGATTCAGATCATCCAGCATCAAATTTAAGTGATCGCGAATAACGAACGACCTAAAAGCAGGATCAACATTGTCTAATGCCGCGGTATTATGATTTCCATCATCCTGACTAATGCCTTGGTTTCCAATCTTATACATATTTCTTTGAGCACGTCTTCTTCTTCTAAAAAGTCTTTCAATCTCAGGTTCTATTGGTTCCAAAGGCTCTTCAAAATTTCTTCTACGCATACACTAGATAAACCTGAAAATAAAACAAAAATATCAAGTAAACTAAACACAAATAAAAATGCAAAACAAAATAATATGCTCTGGCAAAACTAAATAACTTCAGGCTGCCAATCCCCGGCAACAGCGCCAAAAACTTGTTCACGTGTTGTGAGTACTATAAATTATATGCAAATAATGTGGAAGTATACACAATCTCTCAAGTAATATAATGATGAGTTAGTATCGTCTCCACAGGGATTGGGTGAAATTACAAAAGTCTAACCAAAGCAATGCTCTATTCTATCTAAGTATAGTTAGTCTTGATATATACAAATGTCGCGGCAATGTAAATGTGTATGCTGGTGGATATGGAGTGATGGTCTGATGGTGTAGCAAATGAAAATGCAATGGCAATGATGGATGTTTAATGTTGAGTATGGTTAAATGTCAAGGCAATGAAAAATGGTAAAAATAGTAAATAAAAAGAAAATAGAATGAAAAGAAAATAATCCTCACGTGACAAGCTTCCAATAGAATGAGTGGTAGGGATTGCTCTAAGGATGCTAAACTTATTTCTCAAGTATATTTAAGCTACCTGGTCTTTCCTTACTCGACAAAGCTTTTCTAAAGTGTTCAAAAAAACCTAACAGAATATGATGCGAAAGGCATCTGCTCTCACTCAACGATGTTGGCCAGACTACCCTATTAATAAAGACACCCTTTTTAGTCGTTGAAATCCTATCCTAGTCTCTTCTGAGATCTAAGGGATTAAGTTATAATATTCCTAGGTCGGTTCAAAGCCCCTTGAAAATACTATAACCCATTGCTTATGAGGATCTTATCTTGCGTTTCTTTCGAATACTTACAAGTATTTTTAGTCTAGGATTCTTCCGAATACCTAACCTTCATCTAAGAAATGGACATTTCCATGCCTCTTACAAGCCTAGATAGTGAAGCATTCATAAGCAAAGCAAATAAAGAACCAAAATAAACTTAAATACACCATTAAAAATAAAGTTCAAACAACCATTAAATCAACCACCACCAAATAAGTTAGTTCATGGTGGGGTTCAAAATATCCAAACACAAAGTCATGAAAATATTTGTTCCAACAACCCATAAATAAATATAAAATAGCAGCAAAAAGGGAAGTTGAGAAGAAGCCTTCGACGTGCCACCGGAGGTCTCTTCTCAGCCATCGTGAACCACCTAGTTTGCTAGCTCCTTTCGGCGCCTAGCTTGCCACTCCTTGGAGCTTTATCAATGGAGGAATATCCCAAGGAATAATAAAGGAAAAAGAAAATAAAAATCTAATTTTTGCTATAGTATGTGTGTGCGTCAATCCTCTCTTCCTCTCTTCCATGAGGTGTCATATATAATAAAAAAATATCTAGGGGTAATGATGATATTGTTGGGTGCAAAATACCCCTCATACCCCTAGAATCACATGTTGAGCATGAATCTTATCCTCCAAGTGGCAGTGGTCCTCTGGTGGCTCTGGCAGGCAGTTACAACAGTGCTTCACGTGCAGAGACAGTTGTCTAGTACCAGTTGTCCTTGTGTAAAAATATCTTTTTTGTCTTTTTCTGTGCCAGAAATGCCGAGGCATTTCATTATGCTTTAGCAACGTGTGATGCCACGGCATTGCTTCCCAAAGAATCCTTTTTCTTGCTATTCCCTGTACACCACAAACAAACTGCACCTTTATCTTAAGTAACACCATTAAGAAATAATATAACACTACCACCACAAATGCAACTATATGCAACTACATGATCCTAAAATGCCTAAAATGAGCTTCTAAACAAACAATAACTTAAGTTGAAAAGGCCTTAAAAGTAGCCTTTTTAGAAAGTTATCACGCCCCCAAACTTAAGCTATTACTTGTTCTCAAGCAATGGATAGCGGTTACATAAGTAAAATGTCATGGCAATGTTCGATAGTAAGACAGTAGGATAAAATTGAATTTCAACCATCAGAAAGAAATAGGGCTCACCCATGAGTTGTTTGAGATAGGGTAGATCACTCCAGCATCAAGCCATTTCAAAATTTCTTTCATCACCACTTGCTTCATAACAGGGTTGAGTCTTCTTTGTGGTTCTATTGAATTGTCGTGGCAATCTTCAAGCAGAATCTTGTGCATGCAGATAGTGGGGCTAATGCCTTTTAAATCGGCCATAGTCCAACCAATTGCTTTTTTATGTTGCATCAACACACTTAACAAACATTGCTCTTGGTTAGCAGTAAGGTTAGCGGAAATAATCACCGATAAAGTCTCATCGCTACCTAAGTTTACATATTTAAGATGCCCTGGCAAAGTCTTAAACTCTAGAGTGGGTGGATGCATTAATGAAGGCTTACGAGGAATAAATTCATCAAAATTTAGAGGTTTAAAATTCATACCTGATCTAACTTGTAGTAAGCTGGATTCTTCCTCAAAAATTGGAAAGTTGTCGGACTCCACTAAGCTTTCATCATCCACCCAATATTCATTTTTTGCTAGCTGAATGAAATTGTTCTGGCAAATATGTTCAGTCACTTCTTCAATCACTGAGTTCAATTCAGAAATGCCTTTGCATTCTCCAGTGTCATAAACATATTTGAGCATTCGAAAAACATTGACAGTCAGACACTGATCAACCACTCTCATGGTGAGTTCACCTTTTTCACAATCTATCAAGATATGTCCAGTGGCTAGGAAAAGTCTTCCCAGAATGATTAGTGCCTTGGCATCAACTTCGCAGTCCAGAATTAAGAAGTCGACTAGAAACACAAACTTATCCATCCTTACTATGACATCCTCGACTCTCCCTTCAGGTTTCACATGGGATCTGCCGGCAAGTTGTAAAACAAACTGAGGTGGGTCTTGCATCTCCTATGCCAAGATTCAAGAATATCGATTTCGGCATTAAGTTCAAATTTTAACCAAGATCACACAGTGCCTTTCCAATGAAATTAGCTCCAATAGAACAAAGAATAATGAAGCTTCCCGGATCATTTCTCTTTGGTGACAACTTACTCAATGTAGAACAAAATTCTATTACCGTGGCAACAGTCTCTACTTTCCTCTTCTTGGTACAGATTTTCTTCAGAAATTTGGCATACATCGACATCTGTTCAACAGCTTCCAAGAGAGGTATATTGATATGGAGCTGATCAAGAATGTCCAAGAACTTCTTGAACTGAACTTCATCATTATGCTTCTTCAATCTTTGCGGGAAGGGTGGGGGAGGTCTAGCTTCCTTAGCTGCAGGAATAAAATATGCTTTTGCCTTGGCATCAAAATCTGGTATCTTAGCAGAATCCTCCTCCTTGTCCTTCTCAGGAACTCTATCATCATGTAATTCAACTTCAGTGGTGGGATTAGAATCATCATGTTGTGGCCCACTATCCTTGACTTGTCGATTGATTTGTGTTCCACTCCTAAGAGTTAACACATTGCAATTTTCTTTTCCAGGTTCTCTAGTGACTTCAGTATCACTTGGTAAACGTCCTTGCTGACGCTCTTGCAATGCTGTAGCAATCTGACCAACTTGACGTTCCAAAGCTCTCAGAGACGAGGTATGGCTTTGAAGTAAGGCGCCTTGACTATGAAGTAAATCTCCTTGATTTTTAATTGAAGTATAATGGTCTTGCAACATTGTCTTCGTAGTGGATATGAACTCTTGAATTGTAGCTTCCAATGAACTCACGCTTGCGAAAGATGAAGCTCCTTTGTTGTCATTATGCCATGGCATAGCATTTTGGTAACCTTGAGGCTCATTGTGATTCTGCTGCCGAGTAGGTTGATTAACATTGTGGGCTCCTTAATTTCCCCATGAAAAATTAGGATGCTGACGCCATCCAGCATTATAAGTGTTAGAATAAGGATTGTTGTTGCCTCGATTGTAATTACCTAAAAAGTTGATGGACTCATGGTTGGTTGGGCATTCGCTCTCGTGATAATTGCCTTGGCATAACATACATGCCAAGCTAGTTGCTTTCACTTCCTTCACAACAGTGGAACGTTGTAAGTTCTTCAACATATTAGTGATGGCTAAGAGTTGAGCGGACACTGAATCCTTGGTATCTAACTCAAATGCTCCAGGTGTTCTCCTTCCACTCCCAAGCCTTGAGGAAGGAAACTGATAATCATTATTAGCAATTCTGTCGAAGATAGCAAACGCCTCAGTAGGTGATTCATCCAACAATGTCCCATTTGCCGAGGCATCCAGTAACATACTCGTGGGTGTATTGACTCCATTATAGAACATGACTACTTGAGTTAAATCATGAAAACCATGATTTGAACACTTTCGAAGAAAACTCTTGTAACGATCCCAACACTCATACATGGATTCGTCGTCGCCCTGGCGAAAAGATGATATTTCATTACTTAGTTGTGTATTCATGTTTGGTGGGTTGTACCTCAATAAGAAACTCTTGCAAAGATCAGCCCATGATTCCATAGAACCGTTTGGTACACTACTCAACCAAGCCC